CAGGGCGACTTGGAAGAGAACCCGCCCGTTTTTCACCAGGTCTCCGGTCCAAACGGTGAACTGGGCCGACTCTGAGGGGCAACAGAGGGGTTGTTACGGAAAGGTTCTAATGAAATCAGGTGGAAACGGGCGACCTGAGCTCACCTTTGCTCCTCTCTGACACCTGACTGGTGGACCTGCGGAACAGACCGACAGGAAGTTACATCACAGACTGGGACAGAGAGGTTAAGCTTTCACACTTTCAATCTGACCCAGTGGGGGAACAAAAAAATAAAAAATCAGAAAAATGAAACAGAAGGCGATAAAAAACAGAAACATTCTCTTTCTAAGCCTGATTAACATCGTAAATCCAACTTATTCTTTGTTTTTAATAGTTTGGACGTCTGAAAAAACAAAACTAAGCCAAACTAAAAAAAACTTTACTTAAAACGCAAATTCAATGAAGAAAAAAATCAAGTCGGGATTCCTTCTCTGCTCCACCTACCCAGCCATTTAGGAGCACCAGTAAAAATCTCCCCTTTCCTGCAGTCAGTAAACACATCACGGCTGAAACACCTAACTGGGATCAGACGGTACCTGATGGGAGGAGCGGGTTTGATGGAGAGCGGCGCGTCCTTTCCTTTGACGTGGAAGGAGACCACGGCGTAGGGACACACCTGCCGCGGCCGCTCCCGCAGCTCGTCAAACAAATACTCGTAGAAGTATTGCTGTGGGCGGAGCAGAAAACGCCTCAGCTTAAGCAATCATTTATACATCGGCTGCTGCGGAAGAGCCGCAGGACGCTGCTGCGTCGATGCGTGGACGTTACCTGTGTGAGGTCGAAGGCGCGGTAGCAGCTTAGCGAGGTGACCTTGCTGGCGTTCTTGGCGATGTGGCTGTCAAAGCGAGGCGTGGGGTCCTGAAGGATCTTCATGTTTTCATAGATGCTCTTCACCTTCCCCTGTATAAAATATATAAAAAACATATTAAAAAACAAAACAGGACAAAATCCTTGGTCATCTTTTCCATCGACAGCCTGCAGCCACGTCCTCCATTCCTCGTTTTCCAGCCACTTTTGTTGAAATTAGCATTTCCCCGTTCTCTAGCTTCTGTTCCGAACATCTTTACCATCAACTGGCAGCAGTTTCACCCAAACAATAGTAAAAAATAGTAATTTAAACTAAATCATAGTTTAAATTAACTAAAGTTAACTGTACAGAAGAGGATTAGGGCCAATGGAAAATAATTTTAAAAAGTTAACTGCTTTGTTATTTTATTTGAGTTTAAAACAGGAAAGAACTCAGGAATCTGACTTTAATCTCAGAATGTTTGTATCTATGCTTCTTTTTCTATGTCTGCTTCTGTCTCCTTGAACCCCAGT